CTAGCACAACAGGCGGTGAGGAGGAAGCAGGTAGTTCTATATGTGGCACTGCTGCTCATAGTGGTTTTACTGCAATATCAACAGCTGAGTGCACTCAGAGACTACCTTGCCCTATTAAGTGTGCATAGTGAGAAAGTGTTGCTTTTTATTTAGTCAGACAGTGTTCTCCTGCTGGCCCCACCCAGCCTTTCAGCTAAATCAGCCCCTCTAATCATCCCCAAATCCTCCTCCTTAATCAGCAGTGGAGGTTAAAGAAAAGAGACAAGGGTGCAGAGTCCCACCCTCTGCCCTCCTCTATTAACATGAGCCCCATGAAAGGCGGCGGGGCATGCGTCCATATCTTAATGACTCCTTAATGATCCCCTCCTCTGCCCGAGTGCTGACAAACACTGACAAACCCTGATCGTGACAAGAGGAACACCCACACTTAGCCCTCTTCCTCACCCCTTACTCATTTCTCAGCCCTCAGCCTCATTACACCAGCGAGGGTCCGGCAGGATCCATACAGCCCCAAACTAGCAGCAAGATAAACAGCCATGATGAAATAGTCCATGTCACTTTCAGAGAAAAAGGGGGCAAAGTTTGAGTAAATTCCTTTCGGCAGATGGAGCGTGAGGGGCAGAGAGAGGATAGATAAACAAAGGCAAAGTTAAAAAGAACGGCAGCAGGAGACAGAGTAGAATTGCAGAGCTTATGGAAAAAAACCTTTGTTTGTGTCCTTTTTACTTTTCCCTGATCGTGATTTCCACTTCAACTTGGGGTTGGGGGAGTCCGCGGCAAAGACTCTTTCTGCATCACACGAGACATAATTACAGAGTGCACCGCTGCCAGCCCGCCTCAGTTTCTCCTAAATACTCAACACCCCAAATTAGGGGTTACCTCCTTCTAGTCAGACCTACTATTTAAAAATGAAAACGTCACAGACAGAGGGGACAGCTAAGGGAGCGTGGAGAGGAAAGACCTCGTTGAACAGCTTTGTTTGAAAATGACAGAGAAGGCCTTTGTTAAAGATGGTTACTGGCAGGCCTTGGATAAAGCCAGGTGTGGAAACAAAAACTAAAATCGGAGATGCACACAGCTTGAGAGATTAGAGAGTGTATTTATGTGCTATCTGCAGTATATATGACAGCTGAAAATCTGCTGAGAATATTTCCAAAAGGCAGCGAGCTAAGAGAAAAACACTAACTTCACGTCAGGCTATGATCTCACTGGCTTGGACCGCAGTTCCCAGTCCCAGTCGCGGATGACAGAGCGCTCGCTCTTATAAGCCTTTCCCCAGCCTGGCCTTATTTTCTTTCATGTTTTCTTTTTTCCAGTTCTTTGTCTTTTAAGAAGAGTGTCCTGGACAGATTCACGATGATTCATTACTGTCATATAGTCTGCTGGTCAGTGGCAGGTAATGGGCCCACACTATGCCTGGCTTCTTTGTTGCACTGTGCTGTAAAGAGCCACAACAGAGATTACTGGAAGATGAAAAGAGATCCCATACATGGCTGCTTCACTGATAGAACAGGACCCAGGTACTGCACTTCCTCTTGATTTATAGAGAACACTCACCTCTGCCTTTTCTCTCTCTCTGCTCCTTCATCACACACAGGCCACTGTTCAGCAGGCAGCAGAGACAAGTAGCTGAACTTTTGTGGAAAACCAGAGTTGAGTTACACCTCTACTTAGTAGTAGTTCTGGAATCACTATTAGTATTACATTAGCAGACACTGATACTAAAGGTGCCCAGTAAAATAGCAAATGGTCTGTATTATTTTCCAGTTTTGCCATTCACACACAAATTCAAACAGTAGGTGCACTGTTTGAATTTGTGTGTGAATGGCAAAATGTGTATTCGCTATTAGTGTCTAGCTGTTATCTAGCCCAAATACACTTATGGGAGACTGGGAATCAAACCACCAACTCTATGCTTTGTGGATGACCCACTCTAATCTCTTGAGCCAATACCCACCCCATAGTGACAAGTATTAAATTGCCACCTTTAAGGAATCAGGTGTGTTGTATTTTCTCTGTTTGCCATTTTTTCTATTACTTCCCCACATGTGTTCACACTGATACAATGGGGAGTGATGAGATTAACCCCCCGGTTAGAGTCTAAAGGTGGATGCTGGAGTGATGGAAGGACTAAATCAACCGGCAGCAACACTAACACAGGGCAGCAGAGGCATTGACAAGCAAAGGGAGAGATGGGAAATCTTTGCAGTTTTAAAAGACTGCCAAATTCAGAGGGTGTGCGTGATAGAGGATTAAGGAGAGACGGGCATGTCACATGATTAGAGCGGTGTGGCTTAAGTTAAACTTGCTCACAAGCGTCCTTCCATGATGTGATCTGGGAACATGGAGACCACATCTCAGCGACCTCAAACATTGCAAACATGAGCAATCAAATGATCCTAAAAGCTCATTCTCATCACATGGAGATGTAAGATATCAATGAGATGATACCTAATCTGAATAGCCCAAATAATTCCATACGACTGACTGGACTTTTTTTTTGCCATTTTGTAAATCTTCAGATTCAGAGAGTTTTTCTTTCGTTCCTCGCTCATTTTCAGGTTGGTGTCAATGACTGGGAGGGGCGGGGCCTGTGTTTGTTTGCATTTGTTTTGATTAACTCATCCAGAGTTATTGTGATTGGTGGTTCTACTAACTCCATGAATCCAATAACCCTACGTGAGTATTTCGTTTTGTAATGTCCTCTCTGTAAATTAGTCATTTTGTCTTGTTTGAAGCACTAAGTGTTGCAGCATGACATGTTTGAGTTGATTTGCCATGGTTGAGATTGCACATCGTGCAGTGTGACTGTTACACATGTTCACATCCCAGCTGTTTCGATACATCATGCAGCTTTGTTCCAAACCAAACCCTAACCTGGAAGTCAGTGTTTATTTAAAGTGTGAAAGAAGTTTCCAATAGACAATTAACATGATGAGTACAGGCTTATTGGAATAGATAGGAGTGATGGTCTGAAAACTAAACAAAAAACTCTAGGATTGGTTACACACACACAAACACAAAAACTGTATCAATTTCATAGAATTCAACTAAATGTTCCTGTTATCATCCTCCAAGCTTTTTACCCACATGATCAAAACCTGAAGCGCAGCAGAATCGAAACCCACACCCCACATCATATCAAAGCCACATGCTTCACCGGGCCATTTTATTCGATCAAACATTTCACTATGGTAATTCTCAGTAGCTGAAGTGCACTTTAATCAAACTTGTTTCAGTTGAAATAATGGCACAGATTCCTTCTTCGCAGAGGAGTGGAATGAACGCTTCATATTCTGTTTGGGTCTCTGTTCTGTCTTCTCCACGCGCAGAGACTGGAAATCCAGTCAGAAACAACATCCTGTCCCTGGCCTCTAGGAAGTGACCTCAGCTTCAGAGAGGCCAGATAAAAAGTCCACATCAGAAACAATAACACCGGGTCGCCCGTAATGAGCTATCCACCAGGCTCCAGTGTGTTCTGAGGGAGACCAGGTGGTGTGACACACGTATGACTCTGATTAGGGGGCCTTCAGAGGAACAAGAGGAGAGAGGGGGGGGTGAGTAGAGTGCAGGGCCAATTGGGGCATTTTCGTATATGATGCAACTCTGTGGAGCTCAAGGACTTCAGCTGGGCACCAGGACGCTCTGGCACTCAGGAGAGGACCGTTTGCCATTTGTGCATTAAGTGTGGGGGAGCTGCAGTTTGAGTGTTGTTTTCATTTATGAAGCAACATGTGAGCAGCTCAGGCCTCAGTGGCTGAAAATGTGGTGTACGGCAGCCTGATACTGATACAGTGATACGCCTCTGCAAAGTCTTAAAACGCCATTAAGTGCAGAAAAACTCATAAAAGTATTGGATCTGGTAGCAGGCGCGCAGTATAAACACTTACACGCCAACTGGCAGCCTAAAACATCCAATCAGTCCATTATCGCTGCAGCCAACCTAGAGCAGTCCAAGCCTCAGAGCAGACACTGAGGACCTTGTCTGTGTCCTCTCCATGTCTTAGGCCATCTCTCTCCCTAACCTCATTACATGACAGAGGCTTTTGGCACTTGCGTCTGTAGACTCATAATGATACTTCTGCTCAAACTGTTGGAAGGAGAGATGTCAGGGGGACCTCCGGCCTCATTCTTCAAGCGTCGGTTTCATCCCGGCACATTGTGTTTGGCGTTTGACTGGACCGTTTGAATGTCTGCTGATATCAGGCAACACAAACAGGCAGCACTGTCGGCCTGCTGGGGAAGGATAAGGAATGAAGGGGAAACGGAGGCCATTCTTCTCTGCGTGTGACGGGAATTGTGTTGGAACAAGCACCTGTCAGCCGCCAAGCCCCCCCTCCTCCTCCCTCCAACAATGACCACAGAGGTTGAGAGGGAAAGTAGAAGACAGAGTGAGGGAGAGAAAGAGGGCACCAAACAATACAGAAAAGTAGATCAATCTGTCTGAGTCGTCTCTCCCTCTCTTTCACCTTCTTCTTTCCCTCCCACTCTTCTTTTCTCTATCTTGCCCATATTCAGACAACTTCATCTGTGTAAATTGCGCCCGACAGCAGGTGTAGGTAACAAAGCCTCAGACCTACTGCTATATGTACAGTATAAACATCTGCATAAAATCTACATAGACGGTTTGCATTGATAACAAGGCGATGCAGCTGCTGAGGCCATCCTCTTGGCCTGTCCTTCACCTGCATCTCTCTCTCCTCCCCATCACCTATCATCGGTTCTCTGCACTGACTACACCTATTTCCTTTAGTTTGAGACAGACAAAGAGCAGCAGCATCTCTGTGTCCTTCACACTCCTCCTTCAGATACCCTCTAAACAGACACAACTGAAGAATGCTGGCCACAGCACAATCCCACACCTACAACAAGATACTCAGAGACCAAAAAAACTTTGTAACCTCAATTTGCGTCCTCCGCAATGACAGTTAGCGTGCTCTCTCCACTTTAAGCCTGCCGTAGCCCAGCTTTCGAACGCAGCATGTGTGTGTGCTACTTACCTCTCTGTCCTTTAGCTTCATGGCCAGAACCAGCTGGTTGCGATGGTTGGTCAGCGCTTCACGGTAGTTTCCCTTGGAGAAGAATGCCGAGCCCAGATTCCCATGAGCACGGCATTCCCCTGTTTGGTCACCTGGAGAGGGAAAAACCCAAAACAGAGTATTAACAGAGCTGCCTACGTGATTACAAAGCAGCTGGTGTTTATTTCACATCATCCCACCACCACCGTTAAACTGTGATGTGATGAACCACATCTACGCCACCAAAGTGCCACTGCGCCCTTAAAAGGGAAAGTGGCCGCTATGTGCTCTCCAGAGTAGAGCAGCTTCCCTGACAGCTGGTAGTGGTGATCTCAATGCTCCAGAGGGTGAGAGGGGAAAGCCTTATTATTTCTGCCTGACAGAGAGGCCCACAGACAGGGCCAAAGTAAAGCGCCAGTGCTCTACCTGAGAACCAGAGCTCCTTATCTCCAGCTGCTTTGCCCAGTCATGTGTCAAACTGTGGGGGGGTGAGAGGAATGGAGCCAGTCAGTACTGCTCTCCGTTTTTATTTTCTTTCTATCGTAACTTCCTAAGTTTTTCTTTCTTTCATTTGGTGTCTTTTAAACCTCCTTCCCTCTTCATATAACTCCAACATGTAACTTCTATTGTTCAGCTAAGAAATTCTTGCATTTTCAATTTCTAATATGTACAATATTGTTACACTCTATGTGTTCTGTTTGTATTGTACATATTAATTTATACATATTTTTATAGGTCCTTGTTTATGTCTTTATTTGTTGTAACATGGTATATTACTTCATAGTGCCACTAATAAAGGACTTATCTTATCTTAAATTCACAGCAATTCTTAAGATTTTGTTGCATTTTTAAATCACCTTATAGTTTGATGCAAGATGCCTAAAACAGGGAAACACAAAGAAACAAAGGAATGATTAGTGAATTGGTGATTAAAGTTTATTTGCCCTATGCTAGATGGTTATACTAACATTTAAAATGTGTACTGGTATTCTGCTCTCACTGAGATACACAAGAACAAGACGAAGCATCTACAGCCTTGCTGGCAGCTCAGAGCAGTGCTTTGATCTAAATGCTAGAGATAGCATGGCCACAATGATCCTGCAAACATGCTGATGATTAGCTGATGTAATGGTTACGATATTATTACCTCCACCAAGGAGGTTATATTTTCTGTTCCCTGACCGTTTGTTTGTTTGTTGTTTTTTTGCTTGTTTGTTTGTCAGCAGGATTATGCAAATCTGAATGAAGTCCATGAAAAATCCAATGGATTTCCATGAAACTCACATAGGATACGGGCCATATTTTAATTCATTCAGATCTTAGTGTAAAGAAATCAGGCTTAAGTCGTTGATATCTATGAGTGTGTGCAATTTGGTGCACCATGGTTGAATTTAAGGGGATTGTTTCACTCTAGCTGCCTTAGTTTAGTGTGGTAGCATTCTAAGTGATGAAGATTTGTCTAAATGCTTCTAAAAAGTATGTGCATGTGGATTCATCTTGTGATTTGTTGTGATTTCATTCTGTTTTATCTTATTCAAAATTAAATATATTTGGACTCTTTGATTCTTGGTTGGACAAAATCAGCAACCTCAACATGACACATTTAGCTCCAGGGCACAGAGTAAATACATAATCACAAGACTAAGTGTTATTACTATTATTTCCTCTCCACCAGTTAGTTCCAACCTCTTACCTAAGGTCTTGGCCACCTCTAAGTCCTGCTGCATGTAGCCGGTGCTCTTCTCTGTGTTTCCAAGGGACCAGTGGGCGCTGCTGAGGGCAGAGAAGACGGAGCCGCGTAGCTTGAGGCTGCATGTACCGATCTTCAAAGCTGCTTCCAGCACCACAACAGAAGCCGTGTGGTGGCTTGCTGTCAGCAGCTCCTGGCCGATCACAGACACCACCACAAAGGGACTCTTGTCCAGCTTCATCTTTTGCAGCTGCTGATAGGTGGGCTCGAGAGACTCTGCGCAGGAGGGACATGAACACAACCGAGATTAAAAACGTATTCCAAAATATGCCAAAAACATGACCATGTGCCGACATGGCAACCGACAACAATATCTGACGTTGATTGCTGTAACAGTGTTAGGTGTTTACCAACCATGACAAATATGACTGCTGTCTGAATTTAGATTCCACTTCTCTCCAGAAACGGGTGTGTTTTGTCTGGATAAGCATAGCCTGTAGCCTGGCTGAGTGACGGCTTTCACTGACAATAACTCAACATAGAAGCCGTTTTTCTCTCCCATCGGCTCTGAACGGGGTAATCTCAGGCAATTTTAACAGCGCTGCATAAAAATGGCACAAGTTTAGACCATTGTGGGCAACTGTCTTCGCAAACCGCAGAGCGAGATTACATTTCTGCCTTCGCTTCGTGTCAGTTGATATGGCTGTTTGGGGGAACAGAGGAGGCTGAGTGGGTTTTGAGACAGACTTTAAAGAAAGAGTGACGGGGAAACTAATGCAGCTAATGCACAACAGTAGCAGCAGCAGAGGAATGCAGAGTGAAGGAGACACACAAGGTGACCTTTGAAGAGGCTGGGAATGCACACAATGACATAAATCAATGGCGGGCCGCGGCGGGACTCAGGATCCACAGCCCCTCCAGATTACAAAGCCCTCTGGCAGACACCGGCATCGAACAACAGGGAAGGAGGGCGAGGGAGGCACACCCAAGTGTCCGTGTGTGTGTGTGTGTTTTCATGCATTTGTATGTATCACTATATATTTGTATTCATGTATAGGGTGTATCAAGGGGATGCTTAATTGTCATGGCCCTTCCATTTGCTAATACTTTATTATAGAGCTGCTGCTAATTAGGTCAAAGCTCTTTACAGAAAACTACATTGTGTTACTGTGCCTGCACGGACCTACTGTGTGTGAATGTAGTAACTTTCATTTGTGTAGGCAAACATTTAGCAGCCACAAGTGCACAGTTACAATATCTGAGTAAACTCAACGGTTCTTCGAAAACACACACAGATGCTAATTCACCTAGAAAGAAACACACAAACGCACACACACAATATGAGCTGCTTTCACACACAAGCACTCAAAAGCATAACTGATGATGCTCTTTCAAGAGCATCGCTTGTGCTCCAGCACTTGGCAGAATGTCGTGCTTACAGAGACAGTGCGTGCATATAATATCCATTCATAGCTTGTAATTGCCTTCCAAGTGACACGGAGAGCTGAGTCATAAATCAAACACTGAGAGAATGCTTTTTTAAAAAGGTGTCATGGCTGCTGCATTCATAAGCACGCACACACACACGCAAACGCAAAGACAAATGCTGAAGCTAGTGTTTACTGGGCCTTGTATCAAGATATAAAACAAGACTTACAACCTTGTACCTCATTGACATGCACATAGCATCATAACAGAATCATCTCTACCCTTTTTCTTGTAAGACACAATAAATATAAGTACCTGAAATATACCACACAGTTATTCTCTATTCTGCCTTACATGTCCTGTGAATTAAGACATAAGTCATGTAGTCTCCCGCCTGTTTATAAGGACGAATCCAAGTGGGACTAGTAATGTCATGAAAAAAACAATTGCAAAACTTTAAATATTCTTTAAATTCTCTCCCTGGTATTCATGCTAATTAACAATACTATAATATAATTGATTAAAATGAACACTACCATTTCATTAACGCTGATATCCATCTGTCTGTGGAAGGCTATTATTAGTGATGTTCTGGTACTGATGCCAGGACGGGCATCGACAAACTCTAGTTTCACCTACATGAAAATTTTCTTTTTTTTTTCCTGGAAATCACTTCACCACTTCAAAACTGTGCTTGTCTGCTTTTTCAGTTACAACTGCCATACTAGATGGTAAAATACTTCTGTTGCATTCAGTCTCTCTATGAATTTGTTTTTCAAAGGTTTAACCTGAGCCAGACCATACAACAATGAGAGCAATCATCACTTCCATAAAGGGTTAGTAGCATACAGATTTTAATATACGTTATATAAATTGTTATTTTTTTCAATGCACTGATAACTGATCAGTACTCTGTATCACCCGATATACAAAGTTCAGGTATTGTTATCGGTATGGGGAAGGGAAAATCTTCGGTCAGGCTCTGTTCAACAAAGGCACTTTGCTCAAAGGCACCTCAGCAGGACAGATGCGAATAAACACAGGGTTAAAACCCTGCAGTTAAAGGACAATCTTTTCAACTGCAAATGATCCAGCATGGGTCAATAACTGCGACGCTGTGAAACCAACTCCTCTATGGTTTATCTGAAGAGATCTGCGAGTGAAAACCCATTTTAGCATATGTGGGAAACAATTCAGTAATTAACAGCTAATGGACCCTTTGCACTCTCTCTGGCCCCAAGCATATGAAGAGGAGACAGAGCTGGAGCAGGATGAATGGTAAGAATATTACCCGTGTGAATACATACATACTAAAACGCAGCTTCCAATATATGAAAACTGTGAGAGGCAGATTTCCCACAGCGCAGTCAATGACACAGATGGAGAATGCTGATATTGGAGGAAAAACTGCTGCCAGCGTGATCGGATGTGGCAGACGGAGAGACGCAGATACAGTACGGAGAGGGAGGTGAGGCTGCGCCAGTTTCCACTCATGTGAGGAGCCCTTTGTTGTGGGGAATACAGTGTGAGTCACCGGAGAGCACAACATCTGTGTACATCTGCATTAAAGAGAACAAACCTTGATCTCTACAAGGAGCAGCATGTGTGTGTGAAAGAAATGGTTGAGTTGTAAGAAATTGGGAATTATAAAATACTAAAGTTACTGAGGAAACAAACATTGGTGGAGTCACAACACACTCAATCATTGAAGACATATGCCGTGATATTGTTTTCTCAGGTTCATTATTTGTATTCCGGTATCCTGATTTATTTATTCGCCTGTTTTGGTGCAAATGCAATCAGCTGGATCGCTTTGCTCGCAGGAAAAAAATAAACAAAAAGGTGCTTTGGGACAAGTGAAAACATCACAGTGTGTGGAGCTGTTTGGTGGCATGATAAATGAGGGAGATAACTGAACACTGCAATCACAGCTTGATCAAATTGGCTCTTTCTTGGCAACATGGAAGCAACATTGAGTTTATACACAAAAGGGAATAATGTGGTGTTTACAGACCTGCTATAAGAGATTTAAGTGTAATTACAAAGGGATTACAGGTTTTCAATGTAATTACAATGTCCTTACAAACCCAAAACAAGCAGGTGAAACAACCCTTTAACTACAGTCGTATAATGTTTATGTGGGTTTGCCATATTTTTGGTTCAAAGTAAAGAGCCACTTGTCCAAGTTGTTGGATTAAGTCTTTTTGGGTGTTGCTTAACTCCAATAAAAAATAAGTGGCAGAGCTTCTCAAAGTGCTGGATTCTGGCACGAGTGCCAGGCAGGGCAGATAAACATGGATGTCGGGAATGTGGCGCTCTTTCGCCTTGAAGGAGAGAAAGCAATGCTTGCCTACCTTTTACTTATCAGGGGACTTTGGCTGAGTAACACTGATTATCCTCCCCTGTTTGCCGGCGTAACATTGATTATCGTCCCCCTGTGCCAGGAGCCCTCTGAGAGGATCATTTCTCTTAATCCTTTGACCTAGCTACCTCTCCTCAACACACCTTGGATTAGGTTCTCTGATGGCTGCTTGGCACTGTGGGAAATAGGGTAAACAATTAAGAGATTAAATGGCTCGGGCTAAATGTTGGGTCTTCCCCTACTCAGAGGACCCATTCTGCTCCATGATGCACGGGCCTGGGCTCACACCCAAACCCTTTTCTTGTCTTGGTTCCAGTGACAGGCTTATATACTCTGTGGTGCTCAGATGGGCCCTCCATTCTTTTTTCTCTTTTCATAACTCCCTTCTGCATTTGAGCAAGAATATTCAGAGGAGCCCTGTATTCAATCAAAGAAAAAACAGATTCCTCACAGAACAAAGCCCTTCAGAGCTGCTGATCTCATTGTACAGTTCAGTAAATTCTGAATTATAAAACAACGGCACATTGATTCACAGGCGCAGTTTTCAGCAAGGCTTGGATTGGAAGACGACAAAGTAAGACAGCAGGATGACTCAGTCTGCGCTGGCAGTCGGTGCCAGCCACATCTGAGGCATATTAAATCCTCCGCAGTGGTCATCTGAAGTGAAATTACTGCCAGGTTTGTTTTGAGGCTCATTAAGCTGGCCCACACTGACTACTCATGGACAATCAGGTCAATGCAGTTGGCTGATACAACAGATGATAATGCATAACAGAAAAAAAAAACATTTTAGTAACAATCCTGGCTTGAATATGCCACTTATAAATCCACTCAGCTGTAGGAGAAAGGCTTACACAGGGGGGGCAGACAGACAATGGCATTAGTGTTGGATGCTCATTAAGATAACAGCCTATCTGTGCGTGTGATCGGCCCGACTGACAATAAGATATGCTGAAGCCGCAGGCGTCGGGCCTCAGAGTCCGGAGGTAAGTGCTTGACACCAGCAGTCAGTCACAGAGACAGAAAGAAGGACTGATGGAGAGAATGGACCGCCTGGCCACCGGGTGAAAAAAAAAAAAGTGACAGGTAAAGTCACCCCGACACGCTTATTGACTGACTGAGACTGAGGATTATCTATGTAACAGGCTTTTAGGTAGCTGGAGGAGAAAACATGTGGAGATGGTGCAGCAGAAAGACAGAGACACTCACACACGCATGAACACGCTGTCTACACAAACACATTGAAAACTCAATTTGGTATTTCAACCCCAACTGCTTGTTCCCTAAACATGGAGGCTTTAAAAATGTGTTTTACTTTGCAACAGCAATGTTGAAAATCCTATCAAAGATTAAACATTTCCACGAACAAATGCTTCTTTTCCAGTTATTCATGTATAAACATAATTTCTCTCTTCACAAATACTACAAATGGAAACACAGAAACATTTTATATACACACAAAACATTTTTCGGTTTGCAAGTGGAGTATATGAGGTTATCCAGCTCTTTTATTCTAAAATCATTCATTAATATCATAATCTGAATTTCTATATAAATATGGAATTATTATACTAAAGAATATGCTTTAGTCTTCAACAAAGACCCTTCAATGCTCCTTAGAAATTCTTTGGTCTATGATTTGACGTTATTATCACTGGATCCTGGTGTAACTGTTGGACGAACCTATTTTTCCACTAAAAAGAGGATTTTTTTTCATATCTTTATCCAAGAGCGTGGTCTTTCAGTTTGAGAGCAGGACTTATTAATTTCACATTCTGTAATAATGTAAAAAACACGGATCCGTTAGACTCCTTCTCCTTTTTCTTCAAGCACACAGATGGGAAGCCGGCGTACAGCTGAGGAGGGTGGGAGAGCATGAACCCGGTTAAAGTAACCGCCCGTAAGGGACTCTCAAAGATATAAAGCTAACACACCCACAATGATGGGTATGAGAGAGAGCACAGGGAGAGCAAAATCTGAACATGAAATCAACGAGTCCTGCTCCCAAAGTCAAAAAACATGCTCTACAATTTAGAAATAAATTAATAAAAGAAACATAAAATATTATATACATTTTTTTTTCAAAAATATAAATATATAAGGAAAGAAAAAAGGTCTCTGTTCCAAAAACTGTTTCTTATTTGAATAACCTGATAGAAGATGTGGGCTGAAATAAAATCTGGTGCCTACCTTCTTAATATCTTGTTATAAATATGGTTAAGGAAATTACTTTCAAAATGATTCATTGATCTGACTCTAGAAGATTTACTTCATTTCTTTTAGTCTTGTCCCCGTTAAAGCTTTTGACAAGATATTTGTACATTTACTTTATAGCCTCTGAATTATTTTGTTTAGTTTGTTTTCTTACTCTCCAACCAAACAAAAGCAATACCATATAATTCATTTGATTGTGTTAATTTCTAAATCACATATTAACAAATCTAAACTATACGCCACTCTGTATTATTTTTGATTCAATAAAAAAATATGAAACAAATTCTAGTCTTTAGATATGAAAGTGATGAACTCTGAAAGTATGTTCCCAGTATGAGATTTTTGTGAGACATGAACTTTGTATGGCATCGACCCCTGGCTGTGTGTTGAATGTGTTGTGTGATTGTCCTGAACATTGTTGAATGTTGGATTTGTTAATAAAATAAATTAATGAATAAAATCAAAAACATTCAGCAGCTGAGTTTCTTACCTCGTAGTGGCGACTTCATGGCAGCTTCGATCATGCCCACCAGGAGCTGTAGGCTCTTGGGGTCTTGGGCCAGCCCGGAGGCGAAGGCGGCCAGAGCGTCGGCATGGCGACCAAGGTACTGAAGGGCAACACCCTGTCGGAAGTATGCCTGTGGAGGGAGAGAGGTAACAGAGTTAAAGAGTCATCACGGCTCCAGTGTAGCGCCACAGCATGGGGCTTTATACAAACACATTACCAGACACACTCATTTCACGCCATTTGCATTTTTTCCACACGAGTAGTTTTCGGAACATGGCACCTCTCTCCTTTGTATTCCCATAATAACTTGATCACTGGCTTTTTTTGTACTTGTTAATTGGATTATAAGTTTTACATAAATGCACATGTTACACTCTGGCTGGATGCGTTCTCAGGAGCAACCATTGTTTTTTCTATTCAATATTTTATTTTTCTGTTTGCTGCACACAAGTAGAGTGCTGGGATTTCTCTTTGGCTGTGTCAAGGAAAAAAAGTCAAGATGAAGAAAAATAGAATGAAAGAGGGATAGTCAAGTCTGTCTGTAGCCAAATAAAAGAACACCAATAAATACTTCAGATTGTGCATTCCTTTAGTCAGGACACGGTGGTAAAAAGATAACACAACTGGTCGGGCTCTGGTTTGCCGTAGTTTTGCATCTGATGTGTACTGGTGTCATGTGTTGGATAGGTGAATGGCTATTCAAGCAGGCAAACATGAAACACATTTGACATCCAGTAATTTATTCACAGAGCTGGAAAGTCACATTGTGCTAGTAAAAATAATTCAGCACAAGTGAGACATAAACTGCATGCGGCTGCTGACATACTGCATCTTTCTGTGGGAGACCCAAATGTTTTGGAGCATTCGTCAGATTGAAAGCTAAAACAGACGCTGTCCCTAGGATCCAAAGCTCCATCAATAACAGTGTTCTTTTTTCTCTTCTTCTTCAACATGTCTGTTTGGATACTCCAGAAAAAGTTTGTGAATCAGTATGTTTTTGTCTTGAGCCTGATCAGACAATAATCTGCTGTGAGTAGTTAAACCTGACTCTGGGCCAGTCTAACAACAGCAACAAAGAGAGATGGAACCAGATCCAGCTCATTGTCCTGAATCCAAAACACTAAATCCAAACAAGAGAAAGCAAACTGTCTCTTAGAATAGTCCGAGCTGTGTTTGTGTGTCAGAAACGCACAATTACAGGAGCGAGGCATGGGTGAAAATGAGGGATCAGCAGCGTGTGAGGCAAAGAAACGACAGACTGTCTGTCGAGCTAAGAGTCCTGACCCTACAGATTTGTGTGTTTGTCCATGTGTGTGTGTGTTTTTGCGTGTGTGAGGGGGCAGAAGTGAGTCTGGCCACTTCCTCACACTCACTCCACTTACAAGTTCCAAAAGTGACACTAGGGCCAATTTGCCATTAGTATCTAAGAGGCCTTTTCATTAGTCTTCTCTGTTAGCATGGCGAGGAAGTGAGGGAGGCGGGGAGGATTAAGGAAAATGAGACATGACATCGAATTTATAGAGACCAGTAATTAATTTTGCTTCCGTCCAAGCCCCCTGCTGACTACCAATCTCTCCAGACCTGCTGCCCTCCCTCAACATCTTTACCTCCCATCGCTTGCATCACAACTTCATTGAAAATGACGAGGACGGAGATTAGATTCAAAGCATTAACCTTTGTTCTAACACTGTTATGATATAAGGGGAGTGCAGGCCCGGGTTTCCGCTCAATATTAATTGCATCTAGTGGCAGTGGAGTTTGAGCGGGACGCACTGGCGGGAGCGGAGAGGCCCACAAACGTTTCGCCCAGGGGAACAAAAGACATTTAAAAGCATTTCTGCCTTTGATTAGATTTAGCCTACAATATGACTGCTCTCCCAGAGGTCTTTCTTTCATTGCCTTGAGCAGCGTGCCCTGACTGAGATGACCAGGACGAGAGAACAGATGAATAAAAATAAAGCTCCCCTCAAAGAAAAATTGGAATCTTCTTTAATCCTTTTATTTTACCCTCTCCATTCCTGCTAAGGCTGACAGACGAGACAGTGCCGAGAGTGCATTAAAATACACATGCTTGAGAATAAATGCATAAAAAGAGAGTGCCACGGCAAAAACTGACTGAAGCAATGTGCCGTAGAACATAATACGTTTTTTTTTCTTCCATTATTCTCCCACTGCCTTCAGAACACATCATACTGTATATGTGGCTGCACACAGACATACACACAATATAACCACAGCTTTTGCATAATCCAACAAGTCAATTCAACCAGCTGCACATAGAACAGAGGGTTCACGTGCATTTACATAACAGTAGTTCATCCCTAAATCAGTACAACACTGACAGTGATGGGCTCCAGATAAACTGAGAATGAAATATTAGAGTGAAAGCCTATATAGCACCGAATACATGCGTACAACACCGGCAGGTTGGCTATGCTATTGGCGAAGATTTTGCTACTCCAAAAAAATGTGTTTAAAAATTCACACTTAACAGGATCTTCTCTAAAAACACAGCAGCATCTGCTTAGAGCTGCTGCTACAGTGATTAGCACAGCCTCTAGCCACACAGAGAGAGGAACTGAGAGAGAGAAATGAGAGAGGTAAAGTAAAGGGGTGAAGAGAAGGAAAGAGAAGGCTCCACAGATTAACTCTGCCCCGTCATCAGTAATAGATAAACAACTTGTGTGGTACAAGTCAGAGCTTAATCTTTCAGGCAAAAACTATCTCCACAAACAGGATGCATATTCGAGAATTACTCATCCGAAGGCGAAATTCTCACACAGCACAGGTCCTTCTGATTCGTGATGCATCTGTTAGGCATCTTGTTCAACATGACATCCACAAACTAAGACTTCTAATGATGTGTTTTGCCTGAAATTCTATCTGGGCTTAATTATTGAAACGTCCCGCATATTCGCCCCCCATCTGCTTAATGCAGCAATGTGCTGATGCCACAGAAGAGTGGATCGTGTGGGAAGGTGTGTCGTTCGCACCCGTGGGTAAATTCTAGCGGTGCATATGATGCGCATGCGTGTCAGCACATGTGTGTTTATGTATGTGTGTGTGTGTGTGTGTGTGTGTGAGAGAGTAAAAGTGAGAAGGAGCAAAACAGAGAGGCTTGAAGAGACGTACGATTAAGAGAGAGGATAAAAGCTTTTCTTGTTTCTCGAACATTTTAATATTTCATGAATGCTTGTTTGATGTAGCTTTAAATATTCATGTTTTTATGCTTAGGAGGAAGAGGGAAATGATGCAAAAAAAAGTTATTCACTCCGGTACACTGCTACACACTATGGGGACCCGACATTCTCTGCGCACATATGCACCAACAAGCTCATGTACATCACAGCTGCATTTGCTCTCTTTCTCTCTAACAAGACACTTACAATGAAACATGGACAATTTTCTCCTAGTGACAGCTCTGTTGTTCACAATAAGAGCCACAGTCGGAGCAGCTGAACAGAAAGTTGACAAGATTAAGACTGGGAGTTTGGAGGCTGCTTTCCTATTAGCAGATTAATGCCTCAGCATATGTCCTTGCCCCCTCTTCAGTGCACTGTAGCCCCAGGGGTGTCCTAAGCCCCTGGGAGCATGTCTGTGTTTGCACTTGTCTATCCGTGTTCGAAATCTGGGTCTAACAGGCTTAAAGGAGGGATTCACTTAAAGTATATTTGAGGAATGGAGGTATGGAGATGAGGAATGGGGGTATGGTTCAATGTGGATGTACTGTCAGTTGCATCTCAATGCCTGTTGTGTCTGGCAATGACTAACAACTGACAATAAAATGTTTCGTAATCTAGCTTCTTAAAAGAGAATACACACTGAAAATAACAGTGTCTTCCCCAGAAATACCATGTTTGGTCAACAAGTTGTTGAACATTTCCAGCTCACTTCATTTCCCTGGTCTCCACCATCAAATCTCTGTAGCGCTTCCAAAATAAAATGCTTGCTAAATAATGTGTTATGCGTTTGTTTACCTGATTCTGGATCTGTCATTTTCAGCAATAAATCAAATTGCCAAGGTAATTTGTAAATGCTTTGTATCAAGGGCACTGGAGCTGGAAACCCGCCCATGTAGTCAGGTTGTTTACAGACAGTTGAAGCTGTTTTGTGCCACACATTCAGAGCTGTAAAATTCCAACCACGATGATGTCTCTCTAAACAGACAACATAACTCCTCGCCCTCAATGCAGGCGGCCTGTCATCGAACCGAGCGCTCCAGCTTTGCTCCAGTAGCCTAAAGCCTTGTGCGGCTTGCTGTGCCCTGAACAGTGATCAGCAATAATAGAGATGCTCTCAAATGTGAAAATCAATAGAAGCAGTGTAAGCTCCATTTAGACCGTGCCACACCTTTCACTGCAATAGTGTGTTTGGGATACGCCTTCTGCAGATGGTTTCTGGACGCCCACTGGGCAGTTGGTGCCAGCACGACGACTCTGAACAGAGCCCCGCTGGCGACATAATGGAACCCAAATCAGACCATCAAGCAGGGACAGCAGGCTGCAAATTCAATGCACATACACACAAAAAATACCAACTGAAGAAAAACACATCAATAACTCCTCAAGAAAACCATCCATCTATCCACAGCAAACGTGTATTATTCCAAATCAACCCTCCACACAGGCCGGGGGGCTGGGATCAGATTAATACTAATGGTGGGACCTGAACAAAGGGATTGCTGCTTCTCTTTCCTCTGTCTCTTTAAATATAGTTGTTGCCTGGTTTTCAGTGTGACCCAGAAATGTCATGTGTTGACCAGGGTTTAAGACATGTGCCTCCGCCATCACTTGTAGTCTCTTCTAATAGACTTTCAAGGTGACACAAACACGATTCACAGGGTACACAAAATGTCAACTGCTTAATTTAATATCCAGGGATAACTGTCGGCCATGAGAAATTAGCTCAGAGTACAGCTAAAGAAAAAAAATACTGAATCGAATGATTGCTGCTTCGAACCTTCTGCCCTTCAACTTGACAAGCTGAAAGCCACAACACAGCACAATGGAGAACTCTTTAATTAAATCTATTTCTGAAGCCAAATCTACGAGTTTCAATTCATCTTCCTGCATCTCCCTGCAGGTACGGATCTCTTTCCCCCAGGACCCAAGAGGTCTGAGGTCACTTCTC